GAGGGTAGCCTACCACCAGGTGTGGGTGATTTACTGTTGTCAAAGTGGGTAATGGAAAAACTAGGGTACAGTCCTGAAAAATTACTCGCTGCAGCACAACAAGTGAGGGCCGAATGGAATATGAACGACGTTGATGATTGTCCAAGTGGTGCTGTGGGTAGCGTTCTCGCGTATGCTGGTGCCATGGAGACTCCAGCAGCCACGGAAGAAGAACGAGTGCTGGGCGAAGAGGAAGATCGTACTTGTTTTCCTGAATTCGTGAGTGATAATGACACTGAGAGAGAGGAGGTATGGGCAATCCTCCTGGAGAAGGTGAACGAAGCTCGTCAGCTTGGTGCGACTGCTGACTTTGTGGAGGAGTTGGAGAACATTTTAATACAGTTCATTGATGTTTTCCGTATCTTGATTGGCCGCGATCCACCGGTGGATATGCCGCCCATGGAGGTGACTTTAATGCCTGGTGCTGTTCCTACCAAGTGCAAAGCGCGCAGATACTCTCCGGTACACCGTGAAATCCTTAAGAAGCACGTTGAGGCACTAGTTGCAGCTGGATTATGCTATCGGAACCCGAAAAGCAGATGGTGTTCGCCTCCCCATGTCGTTAACAAGCCAGAGGCTGGAAGTCATCGCATGACTGTCGACGTGCGAGGTCCAAATGCCAGTGCCGAGCAAATTGTCTGGCCCATGCCGGTATTGGAGGTGGTGTTCGAGCAACTTCGAGGCTCTTCAAGATACTTTTCGCTCGATTTCTTTAAAGGATTCTGGCAGTTTGCAATGGCGAAGTGGTGCCACGAGATCTACTCAATTCTGACCGACGAAGGCGTAATGACACCGACCAGAGTGTTGATGGGCGGAACCAATAGTGTGGCCTACGTTCAGTCAACTGTACAGGAAATGTTTGCAGAGATTTTCAACGACGGCCTGATGATCTAGATTGATGATTTACTTGGATACAGTGATAGTGATGAAGGATTGCTTGCATTACTGAAGAAGGTGTTAGCAATTTGTGCTGGTAAGGGACTCAAACTGAATCCAAAGAAGTGCAGCTTTTGTCAACGAGAGGCTTTATGGTGTGGACGTGTCGTGTCTGGTGATGGCGTTCGACATGATCCAACTCGGATCGAGGCTCTCACGAATCTTCCTCCGCCAACTACTGGTCAAGAGTTGCAGCAGTTTGTCTGTGCTCTGAATTGGATGCCATCTTCGCTACCTGCATTCAATAAATTGATCGATACATTGACGAAGTGCGTGGAAAAAGAGTACGAGCGGGCTGGCGGCCGCAAGAAATCGCAAGTGCGAGCGGTCCAGCTTTCCGACGTGGACTGGGGCGATGTGGAAGTTGATTGCCTCAATCGGTGCAAGGCAGCGTTGCAACACGCAGTGCAGTTAGCACATCCAGACCCCAAGAAACGTCTTTCGGTGTACACTGACGCTAGTGATGAGCACTGGGGCGCAATGATCACGCAGATTCCAGGCGACCAAGCACACAGGCCGCTGAGTGAGCAGGAACGCCAGCCACTTATGATGCTGAGTGGCTCGTTCACAGGTGCAGCGAAGCGGCGGGCAATTGTTGAAAAGGAAGCCTACGCCATTGTGGAAACGTGTAGACGTGCTGACTTTCTGCTCCATCGCCCTGACGGCTCTGCGCTGTTCACGGACCATCGGAATTTACGGTTTATCTTTGATCCACACAGTGTAACAAGCTCAGTGCCTAAATACACAGCGGATAATCTCCACCGCTGGGCTCTTCTGCTGATGGGATACATGTACGAGATTCACGACATCTCTGGAGAAGAGAACGTGTGGGCAGACCTACTGTCGAGATGGGGATCCACTCTCAAGACAATTTGTGCTATTAGGCAGGTGCCGTTACCTCTCTCGCCGCAACTCGATGAAACCTTTGGGTGGCCGACCTTGAAAGAGATTGCTACGGCGCAGAGTGCAGCCACTCCGCCACCCAGTTTTGCCAAGTCGAATGAGGATTCCCTTTGGAAAGATACGATGGACAGGATCTGGATTCCGGAGGAGGCCGCCGCCCTGCAAATGCGGGTTTGTGTGGTTGGACACTTTGGAGTTGCAGGACACAGAGACAGTGCGGTGACTCTGAAACAGATTAGTGAGCGGTTTGTGTGGAAAGGAATGAACCGAGACGTGGAGTATTTTGTTCAGCGTTGCTTGCATTGTGCGAGCACGTTAGGCGGTCCACCTCAACAACGTGTATTAGGTGAAGCGATGCACGCCGAGCATCCTAACGAGTTAATCCACTGGGATTTCTGTACATGGGCGAGAGTAACGTGGGTCAGACATACATCCTGGTGATAAAGGACGACGCGTCCAAGTTTGTGTGGCTCGTTCCGTGCAAGACAGCGGACGCGGACACCACTTTCACTGCTCTGTTAGACTAGTTTGCTTGCTTTGGGGTGTGTCGAACCTGGGTAAGTGACCAGGGAACACATTTCAAGAACAAGACAATTGAAGCGCTTCAGCATGCCATTGGAGCGCACCATCACTTCACCACCGCACGGTGTCCGTGGGCAAACTGTACCGTGGAGGTGGTAATGAGGGAAATCTTGCGCTGTTGCAGAGCTCTTCTCTCGGAATGGAGATTACAGCCTAATGAATGGCCACGTGTGATAAAAATTGTGCAGTTGGTGTTGAACAACACGCCGTCTCCGTCGCTGGGGGGCGGGGCACCTGTGACGGCGATGACAGGTCTGAAAGCAATGGGTCTAAGTGACCATATCGCCGTTCCGGGAGTTTTAAGCAAACTACGCTAGAGGAAATACAGGCTACGCAGAGACAGCGTGTTGGCAAGCTCAACAAGCGTTAGCAGACATTCACAAGCTCACTGGAAAGGCGAATGCTGCCGCCAGAGCTGCTGGACGCAAAGGCCACGACAAAAAACAAGGCACCACAATGGCTCAATTTGAAATAGGATATTTCGTGCTGTACGCAGACGTCTGGCAACACACACGAAACAAATTGCGTGTGAAGTGATGTGGTCCTGCACAGGTGGTTGCCACCGTGTCTAATTGGATTTTCGAGATTCAAAACTTAATCACCAGTCAACGCAAAGAGGCTCACGCTAGTCGCCTAAAATTTTACGCAGACTCCTCGCTTGACGTGACCGAAGATCTTATGCTGCATGTTGCCCACAACAGCGAGGGACATGTAGTGGACAGCTTACTGAAGGCTCGCTACAATCAACAAGAGAAACGCCATGAAATCAAGGTGCGTTGGCGTGGCCTCGACGTTATCGAAGACTCATGGGAACCAGCAGACATTTTGCTGCAGGATGTCCCCGTGGCTGTGAAGGCATTCGTTCGAGAGCACGGGAAACAGGCACCGGTGCGAGCACTTCGTAAAGCGCTTCATTTCAA